GAATGGCCACAGTACAAAGGCCTATGGTTCATTCTCCAGCACCATTTTCAAAGAAAAGGCTCAAGACAAAATGTAAAAGGCAGCAAACGTTACCTGTTGTTTTCTGCTAAGATTGTAGTTGTTCCCTGCCCCTACCCCATTTTGGGGTTGTTTTTGGGTGGTGATGGTACAGGGGTATAAACCCAGGCCTTTTATACTGAGCTACAGATCTTTAAATTTTTTAATGTATGACAGTATCTTGCTAAGCCACCCAGGCTGGGCTAGAACTTTCAGTTGTCCTACGTGAGCCTCTTCAGTGAGGGAGTATAGGCATGAGCCACACCCAGCTAACCCAAACTCTTTTTTATATTTCTCTATGCTTTTCAAAAATTATACTACTTTAGGGCCAGCCAGATTGCTCAGTGGGTTAAAGCTCCTGCTTAGGCAGGCACAGGGGCCTGGGCCTCTGAGATGTCAAATGTGACCGGGTGGGGTGGCATATGCCTGTAATCCCAGCGTTTGGGAGGCTGAAAAAACAGGAAGGATCACTATAAGTGATGTGTTGTGAGACCCTGTAGACTGTGTACAAAATACATTTTTAAAAAATTATACTATTTTATATGTTTTCATTTAATGGAAAAGTAATAGAATTTTTTTTTTAAGTAATAGAATTTTTAAGAGGCATCATAATAAATATCAATGGACAAAATAATCTGACCAGAGTATTTAATATTTGACAGACACTGCTTAAAACCCCTATTAGATGCTGATCCTATGTTGATTTCTATTCTTCCCAATAATTTAAAAATAGGAATTACAAGCCCTACCTACATTTTACAGGGAGCAAAAGAAAGATCAGAGGGAGAAAGTAACTTGTCTTACCACACAGTAAGTAACGAACTCAGAGCTGGAACTTTATGACCCTGCAGTTGACAATCTCTGTTAACCTGTGCTGCTGTCCCCATACTACGCAAGAGTTCTAGTGACCATTCTCTAGGCATGAAATCACAGGTAAATTACTATTTGACCAAGTCAGAAAAGTCACTAATTCTCTAAGATGAAAAACCAAATAATCTTAATACACAGTTATCCTTCATTTCAGTAGTTTAACATATTTTAGAGATTTTACTAACTGTAGAAAAAATACTAACTTTTTTCCATCGAAAGAGGTGATCTGGAAACAGTAGCGCCTGTCTTCGCAGTCCACCGCCATGACTGAGCAGTTGTCTATGTCCATGGCCAGGCCACCTGCCACGTCTCCGCGGGCTTGGCTCATTAAGTTGCCACCCTGCGTGAAGTAAAACTGTCTATCCCAAGTAGATGACACCAAGCCTGTTTTACTAAATGAAGAAAGCACATTCGCATTTTAATAGTGACACACCTAAGATGACCTTATCAGCCAACCACAAGATAACATGTTTCAAAGAATTAACTTGCCAAAAAGGCACCGAAGTGTCAAGAAGACACAGATACTTTTATTTTAGTCTCTAAATGAATTTGTTTGAATGTGTGCAATTTTTAATCCGAAGCCAGAAATTATCAAATTGCAGCTGTCTTATAATGATGATCTATAAAACTTAAGTTATAGTCTAATATTCCAAGGAAACAGATTCAAAACAAAAAAATGTATTATATTCTTTATTTTACCCCTTAGCCTCCCTTCAGGTTAAGCAGTAAAATCTGACTTGATGTTGTAATTATGTATATTTTAAAGCATGTAAATGATATCTAATAGTATTCACACTGTGACAAGATTTCAGCTCAAGTTAGCTTCATTTCTTTCATAATTCTAAATTATGCTACAAATACCTAGGTAGAATTTTACTTAGAAAAGTATTCATCTACTGCATCTGTCAACAAGTTCACATAAATGCTGGACCCGCTAAAAAGTTTACCTTTAGTAAAATCAAAACACTTGGCAGATCTTATCAATTATGTATTATAGTCACTTCATATTACAAGATATACAATATACGAAAATAGCAACACTTTTCTTACTTCCTGGCATTAAGGTATCCAGCCTTTCGGGTTAAATTCCGATTAACAGGAAATTTGGTGGGGTCTGGGTCGGGCACATACAAAGGGTCACTGGCTACTTCCAAATCCTCTATTGTCTGCTGCATAGTCTCCACATCACTGTCCATTTCCCTGCGAACGCTAAAATAGATAATTTATTATCAGTTAAGCCAACAAAGAACATCTTAGCAGTCAGGTTTACCTACGTATTGGGGTTTTTCCTATATATTTGTTTTATATATATTTTCTTAAAAGAAGTGGCACAGATATTTAAAATGATACATATTTATGTTGAAAACAATATGAAGGCCGAGGAGATGGCTCAGTAGAATAAGTGCTTCCCTGGCAAGCACAAGGGCCTGAGTTCAATCCCCGGTTCTGGAAAAAGAAAAAGAAAAAAATACTAAATTCAAAAAGTAATGAAGCCGTGCTGAATGCCTCCCTCTTGAAGACTTTTCTTTTTTAAAATTTTATTTGTGTGCGTGCGTGTGTGTGTGTGTGTGTGTGTGTGTGTGTGGCCAGCTCAGCCCACCAGGGGGCGGGGCTGGCTGGCATGTGGTGCTGGGGGATTGAACCGCAGTCCCTGTGCTTTGCCAAGCTTGTTCTAAGTAGGTACTTTAGACCACTGAGCCATCTCACCAGCCCTTGAAGACTTTTCAAATTGCTATGTCCTGTGCCTTTAAAACGCAAGCATCGTTAACCTAAGTTAACAGATCAAAACTGGAGAAAAGGGAAAGGCTGCAAGGTCAGCCAACATTTTGGCCCTAGCATTTCAAGGTCAGTGAATACTCGGGACATAGGAGAACCTGTACTGTAACAACATGTAACTCAGTTGTGCTCCAAATTTTCTGATCAAGTAGATTATGGAGCCACAGAGGAATGTGATCGATGATGTAAAGGGGGCCTAGGGAGAGTCACATAGAGAGAAAAAAACATTTTCTCAAGCTTTCACAGAGAGCAAATTGGTCAATCAATGGCCGTGACTCATCCTCATGTCAGACACTGACAAAAGGATGTACAAAGGGTGGTACGACAAAAGGATGTACAAAGGGTGGTACGGGGCTACAGGATAAATCCTGAGAGTACTTGGCTGACCTTATCAGATACAAAAGTTACATTTCTTGTTATATAGGTCTTGGTATATCTTGGTCTTAACCATCCAGCAGAAAAGTATAAAAATGAGTTACATAAAGTAAATCCATATTAATACAATGAGCTGCTAAAGGCTCAAGTCAATAACTTCTGAGGATAACCCACTAATATTATAGACTGCTAGACAGTGTTAAATTGTTTAATTGAATTCAAACACCTATAGTATTTAGATGCTAACAGAATATTCACCTTTGACAGGACAAAAAAAAAAAAAGGATACAAAGGAAAGATCAATTTGTATTTATATATACAAAATAGTTCGGATAAATTTATAGCTACTTTCGCTTAATTCAATGAGAAGAAAGAGGTGTACTAACAGTGTCTGGACAAAATATCCTATCTGCTTCTTGTGCTATGGATAACCACTAGGAAGATAACAATGTACAGTGTATTATCAAAACTGTCCTATTAATCAGCTGTGAAACTGTCTCATTCATATTTATTTCTCAATAAATAAAATAAATAATAAAAAATAAAACATAAGCATCACCAAGTGTGGTTGCACACACCTATGGTCACAGCACGTGGAAGCCTGAGGCAGGAGGACTGCTCAAGACACAAAACACAATCATTCTCAGGGCCAGGGATGGAGCAGAGTGGCACAGCACCTGCCTGGCCCGCAGGAGGCTCTAGCACTGCCTAAAGGCATGAACTACTTTCATCTCCCTCCATGCCCATGACTGCCCCATCACTGCTCAAACTTGCAAACTTGATGAGGATGGTAGTTTCTCTAAGTTTTGATGGCATACAAAGCAAGATTTAGCTAGTAATATCCCAAGTACACCCCACACTACAGCACAAAGGTAATTTCACTTACGATAGGTAATTATTACTATGTGTCTATTTGATTCAAGTATTAAAAACTAGCCCTGAAAATCATTAAATTTGACCTTGTTTGACATTTGATATTGTTATGAAATTAAGAGTTTATATTTTAAGCTAGGTGTGATGGAGTATGACTGCATTCCTAACAGTTGGAAGGCTATTAAGATAGGATAGCTATGAATCAGAGGCCAGACTGGGCTCCAAAGTGAGACCTTGTCTCAAATAAATAAATAAACAAACAAACAAACAACGTAACTCTAAACTCTACAGAAAGGGTGGCAGGAAAGGAAAGGAAAGATCCTCAAACCATGCAAGACACAGAGTAGAGGAAAAACTCCCTCAGAAAATTAAGAGGAAATCCTTTAAAATTTTGACTTTTAGGGGGCCAGGGAGGTGGCTCAGTAGAATAAGCGCTTGCCTGGCAAGCACAAGGGCCTGAGTTCAACCCCTGGTTCCGCAAAAAAAAAAAAACTTAATGCTCAAAATTTTGGCTTTTAGCTGTTAACATATTCACTATACTTCATTTTCAATCTTAAAGGAAAAATACTCACTTCTGCACACTTGTTCCAATATTAGCTAAAAATTCTTCCAGTTGCTCACTGAGGTTTTCAGAACCCATCTTAAAGAAACTTATCTGAGATGAAGGAAGAATGGATACAAGCACAAACACATACAAGGATTATTGAAACAAATAAATCATATAAGCAATCTCTAAGGTACACAGCTAAGTAAAAACAACAACAAAGGAACTCTTCCATTTATGTAATATAAGTTGCAGTTTGCAACCTATACTGGGTGCAAAGGCACTAAGCAAACTAGAATTAAACTCTAATGCACATCCTTTTACATCTAACAGAAAACTAACACAAACGCACAATAAATTTTTTAAAACTGTAAAGTTTTAAATTCTAGAGCATTTTAAACAAATCTTATGGATAAACTATTTCGTATTTACTACAGTGCTAAGTTTTGTTATCTGAGGAATAATAAGTGCCCTTATATCTGAAGGAATATTCAAGTTTCTTTATTGGGAGGGTACTGGAATCGATCTCAGGGCCTTCCACTTGCCAGGCTGGTGCTGTGCCACTGAGCTAAATCCCCAGCCCCTCACGGTTCTTTAAATTCTTGATTTTTTTAAAGGAGTAATAGCCTATCTCATATTGCTCAAAATTCCAGTTTCTAGCTTCCTTTTTTTTTTTTTTCTGATTTCACCAGTTAATTTTTATTTTATTATTATTTTAATGTTAGTACAGGGGGCTGGGGAGATGGCTCAGTGGAATAAGTGCTTCCCTGGCAAGCACAAGGGCCTGAGTTCAATCCCTGGTTCCGCAAAAAAAAAAAAAAAAGTTAGTACAGGACTAGCTTCCTCCTTGATGCATATCTCTTTGGGTGCCTTACAGTTTATCAACCATTTATAATTCAAGAACATGGAACCAACTCAAACTTGTTCATCCTCTTTCAGATTATGCAACAAGAGTGAGTGGGAGGTGCTGGGGACACAGCTTAGTGGCATAAGTGCTTGCCTGGCAAGCACAAAGTCCTAAGTTTAATCCCCAGTACTGTAAAAATAAATAAATAAATAGATAAAATAATAAAAATAAAGAGTGAACGGGAGCTCTAGCAAATGCAGACCTCTGTAATTCACTTAAGTTTTCTTTCCTGTTCCCAACTGGGATGGACAAGGACAAAAAGTGATGTAAGTGATCTCTTGTACTCTAACAACACACAAAACCTTTATTTGCAAGAGAAAATGATTCCCTTCTACTTTGTTAAAATAGTACAGGGGTAACATTATAAAATTATTATTTTTTTAAACCCAGACATAAACGAGGATATTGGCCATTATTGGTAATATCTTTACATTTAATGTAAATGCCAAGTTTGACATCAATCTTTCAGGATAGTTATAATTCACACTATAGTACAGTATGTACCTGAGCTTGCATGTACCCAAGAAGAGGTTCTAACAATGCTATTTTCTTCTTGTACTGAAGAGTATTCAGTGCACAAAAATAATGCATCATGGTCTGGTGTTGCTTTTTTCTGGAAGTGTACACATCTTCTGTCACTTCATACTTTACCTTTGAATAAAAAGATTTAAAATATTATTATAAAAAATCAAAATATTATTAAGTACGTAACTTTAAGTTATCTTCAGTAGTGTCTACAGGGAAAACCCTACCAAGGAAAATATTGTTATCACTACCAACTGAACAGAACTTGTTTTCTGACCTATCAGAAATCATTAAACATACTAGCTAAGCTGACTTTCCTGTTTAACTACCAACTACAGCATTAGTAAGATACATATCCACACATCATTAAAGATGTAAATATCTAAAATAGGTGTGGCAGAGAAAGTGTGGCAGACAACTGTCAGGAACTCTGCCATCAGTCTCTGCCTTCAGCCGGCTCACAGTACACAGCCTCTGCCCTGGTTCTCTGCCTGCGACTCTTCCTCAATTCTGCCAAGTACCAGAGGCACCATCTCCGGCCGCATGGAAGGTGTGCGTTACACAAATATTTATTTTTTGTTAGGAAAAAAACTAACCAAAAGTCTTATTTTTTTAAATGTATTTAGTAAAGGGTCTCACTACACAGATCAGACTCATAGTGATCCTCCTGTCTTCAGCCTCCCAAGCTGGGGCACGCATGACCACAAATCAAAATATAAGACCCTAACTTAAAATAAAAAATAAAGGGAAGAAAGGTAGAAAGAACTGTAAGTGAATAGGGGTAGTGAACAAGTTATATCATGTAGAGGTACAAATTCTCTATGATGAGTATGAGTATTACCATCTAAAATGTACCAACAAAATCTAATTTAAAAAAATAAATAACAGGTCTGGCCTTATAGCTCAGCAGACTAAAGCGCCTGCTTAGGCAGAGCGCAGCCGCTGGGCTTTGTTTGGGGGCTTTCTTTGGCATACTGAGACGGCGATTGAGCCTGGGTGTGGTGCTGCACCAGTAATCCCAGCACTTGGGAGTCTGAAAACAGGACAATCACTACATGTCCGATCACCGCAGTAAGACCCTGTAGACCCTGTCCTAAATCCAGAATGAATAAATAAACAAATAAAGCAAGAAATAAAAAATAAAGCCAGGCCAGATGGCACAAACCTGTAATCCTAGTATTCAAAAGGCTCAGACAAGAAGATTGCTGAGAGTTCAAGACTGGCCTGGGTTACATAGTTCAAGGCCATCCTGTATTACAAAGCAAGACCTTGTCTCAAGACACAAAAAAGACAGGCATATAGCTCAGTGGCACAGCACCTGCCTGGCAAGAGTAAGGTCCTGAGTTCAATTCCCAATACCCAAAAAAAGAAAAGAAAAAGAAACAAAACAAAATTAAAAGCATAAAAACTAAAGGAGCCAGCAAAATAGCTCAGTGGACTAAAGTGCCTGCTTAGGCAAGCTTAGGTAAGCACAAAGACTGCGGTTCTATCCCTGGCTCATGCTGCCCCAATCCCACCCCCAGGGAAGGGTGAGCTGGCCCGAGTCCAGGCCTACTGGCACACACTGTAATCCCAGCACTGGGAAGGCTGAAAGCAGGAGGATCACCATGAGTCCGAGCTACACAGTAAGACCCTGTCAGAACCAAATACTTTAAAAAACAATAAAAAATAGATGGGTATATAACCCTGTGGCATGAGCACCTGCCTAGCCAACACAAGGTCCTGAGTTCAATCCCTGACACAATAATAATAATAATAATAATAATAATAAAATGGACCAGGAAATGTAGCTCAGTGATAGAGCACCCCTGGGGTCAAGCTATAAAAAACTCCTTCTCCTTCAGTAATGTTATTTGAGACCTTTATTATATCTTGCAAACTGAACCCCTTCTACTGGATTCCCTTTGGTTGTGGCCGCTTCATGCTTTCATTAGTGGTTCTGTTGTACCGCACAACTACACCGTGTCACTTACCACTTGGAATTCTTTGGGGATTGCTCGTTTCTTCTCACAGAAATTTCCCGGTCGGATTAATACAGTAATCTGGCTTCAAACTACTTCTCTATTGTCACTTCTGTTACATCACCCCGAAGACCTCCATTGTACCAGACACACTATAATGATTCTTTTCAATGATCACCAAAATACTAACTAGAATACAGTGAAAATTTCTATAACACAAGTACTCTGCATGTATTACCTAACTTCCTCTTCACAACCTAGTGGGGTTTTTTTCTCTTTCATTTTTTTCTTTTTTTTTTTTTTCTTTCTGTATTTAGGAAAGTCTACAGGGTCTATGGGGTCTCACTACGTAAATCAGACTGACAGTGATTCCCGTTTTCAGCTTCCCAAGCACTGGGATTATAGGCACAGGCCACCATGCCCAGTCTCAATGGTCATCTCAGCGCACCCTGGGAGCAGGGCCGGCACAGCATGCCAGGGATTGAACCCCTGCCACTGCGCTCTGCCTAAGCAGGCACTTTAGTCTGCTGAGCTATCAGGCTGGCCTTCTTTCATTTGATAGGAAAATAAGGTTGGGAATTAGCAGAAGAACATGACTTCAGGTAAATTTAGTGGCAGGGCTCCAATTTGTTCCCAGCCTGACTCCAGCACAAGAGCTTCAGACCTGTACATCCTCCCAGCTCCGCCATTAACCTCTGCTAAGGCTTTGGAAGGAACACATCTACTCCCTCCACCTGCATCCGTGATACCCTCTTATCTTCAGTGCAACACAATGCTGCCTTCTGCAAGTACGGGATTTCCCAGTTCACCAATCAAAGCCCTTCTGCACTTTCAACATTTTGGTAAAACCTCTAGTTTTGCAATTGGGACTGGGAATATAGCTCAGTGGAATAAGTGCCTGCCTGGCATGTGCAAGGTCCTGAGTTTGATCCCTGGTACTGCAAAACAAAACCAAAAATATTCTATTTTTGTGATTGACTCCCATTAATCCACACCTCTTCCTCCTTGTACTCTGGCACTTAATCCAGTCCTACGCAGTCACACAAAAGCCTTCAGTAACTGTGGAGTAGCCACTCCTAGAGGGCGGGGGTGGAGCCTACTCACACCATTCCTTCAACATACTGTTACATATAAAGCAGGTACTCAGTAAGTTTAAAAAAGCAATGAAAGACTGTTTTATAAAGAGACTTGGAAGAGTCAGACTCAATGTAAAATATGCCAAATCTTATACACAGAGTCCTTCCCTATTTCTTTAAGCAAAAGTAATACAGAGACCTCAAAACATACACATTTGATCAATAAGTGTCTGCTCCATCAAGCAGTCTGTGGACTGAGACTAGAAACGACAGGCAGATCCCATTCATGGGCACCATGGCTGGCACAGAGAAAATGTGACTCCACGTGAACTCCCATGGGCGGCGGCAGCAGCCAAGGTACACCCAGCAAGTCCCAGGCATAGAGATCACCTCACTCAAGCATCCAGGGAGGCCTACACAGCAAACCTGGAACAGGCACTGGAGAGCCAGCTCATCTGAAGGAGCACCCAGATGAGCCTGCTTATATTCTGCTATCTAACCTTTACCTGAATGCATTTCTCCTCAAGTGCAATAAAATATGCCTGGACTTCGCTGCTTGAAACATCAAAAGAAAACTAACCCTTTAAATGAAGATAACCTCATAACAGATTTTTTTTTTTTTTAATTATATACGTAGCAACTCAACTTTTTTTTGGTACCAGGAATCAAACTCAGGACCTCACACTTGCTAGACAGGCGCTGTGCCACTGAGCTAAATTCCTGACCCTCAACATTTTTTT